CGTCCCAGCATGCCCTGCTGTGAGGAGGGGGGACGTCCCAGCATGCCCTGCTGTGAGGAGGGGGACGTCCCAGCATGCCCTGCTGTGAGGAGGGGGGGCGTCCCAGCATGCCCTGCTGTGAGGGGGGACGTCCCAGCATGCCCTGCTGTGAGGAGGGGGCGCTGGATGTCTTGGTGGAGGGGGAGCAGAGGCCGCGGCGGCTCCAGTGCGGCGGGTGTCGGGTGTCGGTGGGCTCACACCGGACTGGGAGGACTGGCCCAAGGCAGCGGGAGGGCGTGGAGGAGGAGCCCAGGCCGTGGGGCGGCCGCTCCCCAAGTCCTGTCCCAGGGCAGGGCGGAGGCCAGGCCGCGAGGGGGTCCACCCTCGACGCCTTCACCTCTCCATGCCAGGCCCGGCAGCCGGCCTGGCGGAGGCGGCCTGGCACCAGGGCGGCTCCCAGCCCCCGCCAGCCTCAACCCCGCGCCTCGTCCAGGCCCGCTTCCCCACGGCAGCTGCGCAGGCTCAGGAAGCCAGGCCTGGTGTCCCAGTTTCCTGCTCCAGCCACCGAGCCCGGCAGTAGCTGAGCCCCACGGTCCCTCCCGGGAGACGGGCTGCGGATGAACCTGCACGCACTCGTTGTCAACCACAGAGATTTCTTTGGCGTGATTTGGGGGCAGAACTCCCCAGCCCAGCTGTGGGGGTCGGCCAGGGCCGCGGGTGCTTTGGCAGGAACCAGAATTTGCTTCTCCCGGGGGCGGGGCTGGCTCTCACGGCCATCCTGAGCCCATGACCCGCACCGGAGGCAGGTGGACCCTGAGCATCTGCGGAGGCCAGGGCCAGGCCCTCAGCCGGCCTGAGCGTCTGGGACCCTAGGGCGGTGCTTTGTCTGGACTGCAGGGAGTGGGGAGAGGGCAGCCCAGACCACAGAGCTGCGGAGGGCCAGGGCCGCCTGCCCTGGACACTCTCAGCCCCGCAGCTGGCTCCCAGAAGCATGCTTGTTCAAATAAGCTCAGCACAGCGAGTTGGCTCAAAGCAGATCTACCCATCCTGGTTCAACGGCCCTCACTGCGCGGGACACGGCCGGGCTGGGAGGGAGATGGGGGACACAGGGCCCGGAGAGCAGATCCTGAGACGCGGCTTGGGGTGGGGGATCAGTGATGTCAATTTGGAGTTCCACCGGGCACCCTATCCACATCTGCTTTCAGCTTGTGCTTGGAGAATAGGCTGTGGAGCACCCGCAAAACGCTCTTCGTGTCCTTGTTTACAATGTCTGAGGGCCGGGGGACAGGACAGAGCCCAGTCAGCAAGGGTGACCCCCGGGCCACAGTCCAGGGTGAGAGCTTCCTGGCCCCCCAGGCCCCTCTGACCCTCCCCCTACACCACTGCAACTCTTTCTCCTGGTCTGACTGGTCGGGACCTCTGTCCCCAGGACAGCCCCTGCCCCCCACGCGGGGGCAGCCGCAGCGCCCCCCGAGAGGAGACCTGACACCACAGGAGGATTCCTCCTCCTCCTCCTCCACCTGCCTCTGCCAACGCCGGCCCCCCCCGCCCCCCCCCCTGCTCCTCACCCTCAGGGCTGACGGGGTAGCCCAGCAGGCCTTGGTCCCTCAGCAGCTCCAATGCCAGGGTAACGTTGTGTAACTGCAAGGACAAGGTTTATCCATGTGAGCCTGGACACCAGACCACCTGCTGCCCCTCATAACCTTTAATCCACCCAAGGTTGGAGTCCCCGAGCAGCAGCGGGCGATCAAGGGCCGTCCAGCCTCTCATCAGAGGCCCTCAGTCCTAGTCCTGCTCAGAACACACAGGCCCCAGGAGGGCCTCTGCCCACAGCCGCCGTCACCACGGAGGTGCGCAGGGGCCGGGAAGCTCCTGGGAGGGTCTGTCAGGTGAAGGGAAAGAAGCCAGGGCTGCGGGTCGTGGAGACTCCTCCATGGCACTGGTCTCCATCAGCAAAGCAAGGGAAACTGAGGCCGAGGAGGGCCAAAGGGCCTCCTGCAGCCACAGACAGTGCTGCGTGGCCCATGCCTGGAACCCCGGCTGCTCAGGAGACGACTGCAGGTCAAAACCAACCTGCAGCCACAGACAGTGCTGCGTGGCCCATGCCTGGAACCCCGGCTGCTCAGGAGACGACTGCAGGTCAAAACCAACCTGCAGCCACAGACAGTGCTGCGTGGCTCCTGCCTGGAACCCCGGCTGCTCAGGAGACGACTGCAGGTCAGAACCAACCTGCAGCCACAGACAGTGCTGCGTGGCCCATGCCTGGAACCCCAGCTGCTCAGGAGACTGAGGTCAAAACCAACCTGGGCAGCAAAGTCTGCAAGACTCGTTTCTCCAATTTACCATCAAAGGGCCAGGGGTAGAAATAATAGCTCAAGTGGTGGCGTGCTAGCCTGAGTGACAAAGCTCAGGGACAGCATCCCAGCCCTGAGTTCAAACCCCAGGACTGCTCCCCTCAAAGAAAGAAAGTGCCAGAATCTGGGCCCGTGTCACTTGAACCTTGGCCAGGCAGGCTGGAGGCTGGAGCAGCCTCTACACCAGCCAGAGCCCAGGCCTGCTCTCCCTCGAGCAGGGGCGGCTAGGGCCAGTGCCAGCCCCGCCTCCCCGGCCACCCCAGCCCCTCTGCCGTGAGAGGGAGGCCAGTTCCCAGCTCGGTGGACGCGGAGTAAGCAAAGCCGAGCGGATGCGGCCGTGGTGCGGCCCTGCCCAGGCTGCCTCGGTCACTGCTGGGGCAGCAGGCAGGCGGAGCACGGGGGTCTGGGTGGCGCGTGTGTGGGCCTCCACCCACGCAGGCCACCTGACACGGGTCTCAGGCTCCTCATCTGCACCATGGGGCCAGCACATCTGGCTCTCCAGGGCCACGCTAAAGTGGGACTGAGGACAGAACCCGCCAGGAGGACATGAGCAGAGCCTGGGAGCTCCTCGAGGGCCCAGAGCCCCTGAGAGGGAGGACAGGCGCACGGAGGGCGGGCCAC